AATCTGTGATTTCTTTTATATCCCATTTGTTATTTAGTACTATTTTATTTTTTTTAAAATGTTTGTTGTTGATTTTTATTTGGTTTTTGTGTGTGTCAGAGAATGCGGTTTACATGTTGTAATATTGAACTTTCGGATTTTGTTGACTTCTTTCATCCTCCTCTTGACTATTTTTATTTCTGGAAAGCTAATTCAATATATTTATTAGGATTTCTTAACTTATATTCATGACTTTTAGCTTATCTTTCATATACCAAAATCTTTAAATGTTATGTATTTTAGGTACTCTCATGCAATTACCAAATGTTTCTTCAGGCATGTATGTCTGCCATTTAGCCTATCTATTTCACTTAATTTATTTATTTTTTACTTCAGTGATTTTTTTTCTATTTCAATGACTATATTTTCATTCTCCAATATGTTAGATCTTACATTTTTACAATCTTCACTTGTTTTTGATCATATCCACCTATTTTTGTTTTATAATTTCCTGTTCTTAATTTATTCCTTTAACATTTTGAGAATTTACACTTTTTAATTTTATTATAAATTTTAATAATGTACATATACTTCTGTGTATCTTTACCACCAACAAAATAGGTTTTATTGCTGTTTTATCTGTAACGTGGGTGTAAAAAGCTGTATCACTTATAATTTGCATTTTCCTTAATACTATTATATTTGAGCATCTATTTATGTATGTTTATTGTCCCATACAAGATTCTCTGTTTATATATTTTGCCTGTTTTCCTGTTTTTGTGCTCTTGTCAATTTTTAATGCTACTCTGAATATAGAGTGCTTCTCAAATCATGTTCTGTGAAACTCTGGGAGTCCCTGACACTTTCAAGGGATCAGTAAGGTGAAAACTAATTTAGTAATTGTACTGAGATATTATTTGCTATTTCTACTGTGTTGATATTTGCACTTATGGTGGGCAAATTACTGCCACCTACTAGTAGAAAGCAAGGCAATGGCACTGAACTGTACTGATAATTGAAGGCGAGAAACATAGTTTCTTTTTTTTAACTCTCATAACTTCTTAGTTGAGACACTGCTGAAAACAGAAGCCAAGTTAACAAGGGAGAAAGTGGCAGAAGTTTATGTGTGTCCTGTACCCATCATGCTGGAGAGGCCTCAATTCAAAAGTATCTCCTGTTGGTGGCTTAGGGGCTGTCTTACATAATATTTTAACAAAGATCCGTAAATCCAATATAGTGACAGAACAAAGGAGAGAGCAGTTCCAGTCTTCTAAAAGGTTAGAAAATGTGGAAGGATAGTAAAATCTGTTCCCAGATTCCTTTGGTGCCTGCTGGTGCTTTCTCTGGACAGATTAGCAAGTGCTGTCTCCAGTAAGGAAGGACTGGTGTTCTGCCATCGGGCAAATAGATGCTAAGGCAGCATGTTACCCTCCATTTTCAAAGTCTTTAACCTCATAATCCTCAATGTTTGGGGGAGGATTTTTTTTTTTGTCCGCCTTTTAAAGCTTTACTTTTAGAAAATTGTACATATTAAAATCCACGTTGGTAGCTTTGGGGAGATTTAGGTGAGAGGTTCTAAGGTAAAGAAATTGGCAAAGTGGGGAGAAATAGATTGAAACAAGTAGAAAGGAACAAATTTGGGTTCCCTATCTTATTGAATGAGTCTCTTAGCCCTGAGAATAATCAGCTTAGTTGAACAGGTGAGTCTGATGTCAGAAAGTAGTGTTAATAGCTGAATTTTTTGTCAAAATTCAGTCCCTATATGGTATGAGCACACTGGTATTTAGTTGGAGGCATTTTTTATGGAAAACAGAAAAGCAAAAGTTAATACCTGGAGCAGTCTGCAAACTGAACTCTGAGTTTGGAGGGCAGTCAGCTGAGAATATTTTAGATTTCAGCTCAAAGCATTTTCAGTTGGAATGTGCAGGAAGTGGCAATTTGATAGATATTTCCAGATTGTCATTTAATTCAGGCATTCCACTGAACTTTCTGTACGTAAATAAGTTGTGATGATTTCTCCAAAGTTTATATCAGGTTGTCTAGCATTAACTTGCAGGGCTTTAGGAAAATCAGTTTTGATGTGTAGGGATTTCAAGTCAAATGAGTGAGTGGGAGAAAAATGGGAAGTTTTAGCGTGGAGACTCATAGTCAGATACTGGAAGAAACTAAAAATTCAAGACTCAATCTAGATAATTAAAAAAAAAAACCCTCAAAAACAATGGATAGGGCTAGAATCTAATAGCAGGTGCATTATAGTTTTTAATTTTTTCTTGAAATATAATTTTTCTCTCTCTGGTCACCCATTTCTACCACATATCACAGCGAGCCCAGTTCTGTTGTAAAATAAGTTTTAGCCTCATTATAGTGGGCTTGATTAGTTAGATAAACTGTAGCAAGGCCGGTTGCAGTGTCTCACATCTGTAATCCCAGCACTTTGGGAGGCCGAGGCAGGTGGATCACCTGAGTTCAGAAGTTCGAGACCAGCCTGTCCAACCTGGTGAAACCCCATCTCGACTTAAAATACAAAAATTAGCTGGGCATGGTGGTGTGTGCCTGTAATCCCAGTTACTTGGGAGGCTGAGGCAGGAGAATCACTTGAACCTGGGAGGCAGAGGCCGTAGTGAACCAAGATCGCTTCACTGTACCCCAGCTTGGGTGACAGGGCAAAACTCCATCTCAAAACAAATAAATAAATGAATAAATAAGTAAACAAACTGTAGCAGGAATAATGAATGACCTTATTATAGGTTCTTTTAAATTTGGCTTTGTTGGAACTTGTCATAAGGAAATGACTTTAAAATTCTCTCCAGATTAGGAATTAAAGCCATGGACTCACCCTCAGATGTTACCTGCAGTACTTGAGTTAATTCTTTTCTTGAAGTCCCCAGAATATTTAGTTTTCTGGTAAATGTTTTGATTTTGCTTACAAAAATATGCTTTACCCAATTTCTGCAAACTATAAATAGCTTTTTTTTTAAGGAAAAAAAAAAAAAGTGGCTGGGCGCGGTGGCTCACGCCTGTAATCCCAGCACTTTGGGAGGCCGAGGTGGGTGGATCACGAGGTCAAGAGATCAAGACCACCCTGGTCAACACGGTGAAACCCCGTCTCTACTAAAACTACAAAAAATTAGCTGGGCATGGTGGTGCGTGCCTGTAATCCAGCTACTCAGGAGGCTGAGGCAGGAGAATTGCCTGAACCTAGGAGGTGGAGGTTGCAGTGAGCCGAGATCGCGCCATTGCACTCCAGCCTGGGTAACAAGAGTGAAACTCTCAAAAAAAAAAAAAAAAAGAAAAAGAAAAAAAAATGTTCTTTACTCTGGAAAACAAAAGAAAAGAAAATCAGCAATGTTTTCAACAAAAAGTCATAAAAATCATTTTAGTCCTGCATCAGTTCAGTCCTACGTAATTAATCCTTGTTCTGCTTAATGTTAGGTTAGCAATTTGAGTCCAGTTTTTAAAATTCGAGTTATTCAAATTCTTACCCAGTCTAATTGTATGATCTTAGTGTACTAAGTATATTTACTGTGCTAATTATACTTAAAGTCTATTCCATGAATCTTCTTGAAGACACTTTAGGATTTGCAGAGAGCTTTTGAGGAAAAAAAAAAAAAAGCAGTAGAATAAAGCAGTAATACATCAAGAGTGTTTATTAGGGGCCAGTTCTGTAGGCACTCTGCCTAGCAGCTACACAAATCCCAGACTCCCAGAAGACAAAAAGATGTTCAGTGCATCAGGTGGGTAAGAAGACAGTTTTATCCGTGAAGGAAAAAATTCCTGTCTGTCTAGGGAAGTGTTTACCAGCAAGGGCTAATCCTGCAAGCAGCCTCCACCCTGCAGTGTTAACTCTTTAATGCACATAAGCTGATCCTGAATTGTTGCTGGTTTGTGTGTACTTCTGCTGCGGACTCAGAAGGATATACTTTTGAAATCGTGTTTCAGAGAATTTGGGGGATATTGGGCTTCAATTGAGACTTAGTTCTATTTCAGGTAATACCTTGTTATGGGTCAGTTTTCTGGAAAGAAAAGGTTTTCTTTCTCTATCCCCAATCATACTGTGACTCACTCCAGCTTCCAGCTCTGACCCCGTAGTTCAGTTATTCTATGTGATATGTGTATATATTATATACCTTTCATATTATAAATCATGATATATGTATATATTCATGATAAATGCATACCTACACTGATGGATGAATCAGTACAAAAAGCATGTTAGAATTCCTGTTCAGAAATGAAACCTATAGAGGTTTCCTTAGCAATTAGAAGCTGTCTGGTCTCTACTTCAAATACAAAGATGGATAGTAGCTAAGTATGAAGCTTTTCCTGAGCATAATTGAGGAACAGGCAGGAAGGTCTCCCTTGCTTGAAAGAAATAGCAACAGAACTCCCTGTTTTGGAAGATGAACTTTTCTGACCTTTGGTATTGTAGTGAATTTATTTTCATTTTTATTTTTCTTGTGTCATTTCAGTAAGAATTTGGGATAGGCAAAATATACATATATATATTCTCAGTTCTAGATGTTGTACTCAACTCAATAAAACTAATTGTGGATTTATTAGAAACACATATTTTTGAGTATTGTTCATGATTATATGACTTTAATTTCTTCCAAGATAAATGTTTGAACTTAGAGAAGTGTTACACCTGAGTTTGAGCAGCGTAGTATAGAGGTTAAGAGTACAGGCTCTGGGACAAGGCTCCGTAAATTAGAATCTTAGTTTTGATAGCATAGGCATTGAACATGTGACAAATCCCTGCTTCCCTCAATTTGTTTATGATGGATAGAAAATCTTAATGATGTTGAGAGATTTAAATGAGTCACTATATGTAAAGTATCTATCATAATATTTGATACTTAGTAACTGCAAGATAAGTGTTGGTGAACTAAAAATAAATATAACTGTTATATAAAAATTTGTACCAAGAACTTATACCAAACAATGATATTTCTTAAATAGTTGCAATATGTTTCAATTATTTAAATAACCATTTTTGTGTCTTTCTCTTATTTTTTTTACAGCTTATCGTGAGCCTCATTATTATTATCAGTTCACAGCTCGATATCATGCACCTCCATGCAATAGTATTTATAATATTTCTTTTGAGAAGAAACTTCTTCAGATTTTAAGCAAACTGGTTCTTGACCTGTCATGTGAAATTTCCTTACTTAAGTCTGAATGCCATCATGTTAAAATGCAAAAAGCTGGTTTGCAAAATGAATTATTCTTTACATTTTCAGGTAAGTCCATACAGCTCTTTAGAAAAGCAACTTGAGAACACATAACTAATAATTTAAAAATGTTGTCAATTACTCACAGCATTTTTACAATATAAACACTTTACATCTGAATATATTTTGTTCTCTACTTTGACTTAGTGCTTATCACCCCTCAAATAGAATTCTATTGTTTCATGTACTAATGAAAAGTTTGCTCTCTCAATAACTTACACTGTTAAAATAATTTACTATAGAGTGGAACTTGCTATAAGGAGTATCAAAATATTTACAATGATTTAATTTATAAAATCATCTGATTGTAAGATGGGTTAATATAGACAAGAAGAACCATTCAGCTTAGTGTGCTTTTCTTAATAATGTGGAGTAGAGGCCCAATATTTTCTGGAAAATAAAGAATTGGACCTTATATTTATAATGGTTTATGTATGAAGGAGCACTTAGGAATACCCATCCATGTGTTTTTAAGGGGTCCCAGTGACAGTAGGGCACCCCTCCTATTTTCTTTTTTTTGAGACGGAGTTTTGCTCTCGTTAGCCAGGCTGGCGTGCAATGGCGCGATCTTGGCTCACCACAACCTCCGCCTCCTGGGTTCAGGCAATTCTCCTGCCTCAGCCTCCTGAGTAGCTGGGATTACAGGCACTCGCCACCATGCCCAGCTGATTTTTTGTATTTTTAGTAGGGACGGGGTTTCACCATGTTCACCAGGATGGTCTTGATCTCTTGACCTTGTGATCCACCCGCCTCGGCCTCCCCAAAGTGCCTC